GTGAACTTTGGAATAAGGTATAAGAATTAATAGGTTGAGAATTTGAAAAGGCTCCTTATGTTTTTGGATCAGTGTCATCTATTTTATCTATCATGTGGTAAATAAATAATGTTACTAAGGTGTGCTTAGCACAGTCAAGTGTGGCAGTCTCCCTTTCTTGTATGCAAATCAACATGACTGGTGGTTTAGAATATTGACTATAGTTTCATTTATGTACGGATGCCTGACGGAAGGATTTGATTGATGAGGCACTCAGAATTCTATGCCAAGGAAGTTGTAAGTCATCATGAAAGATAATAGGCAGGCAATAATTACTTTTAAACTCAGCAAATATTTATTGAGGCATTATGTGCATGACATTGTGTAAGTTAAGCTGTAAAATGACTCTAACTCTGAGGGAAGTAATGAAGTCCCTGACTTTGAGAACTGATATGAATGTTGAGGATGAATATGAGAGGGAAGAGAGTAAATGGGAGGTGATGAACAAGAAGGCTGCTGCAGTAATCTATTTATAATTTGATTTGACTTTACTCTGATTGAGACAGACACAAAAGGGAAATGATGAAGTAATGAATGTGTAAAAAAAAAAAAAACCTGAACAAATGTTTCTTCGTGAGTGGACATGCAATGTAGAAAATGGATATTAAAGAGCTAAGTGGCTAAGTGTTGGGACTCATGAAAAATGTTTCTGTAGAAAGGTAACGGGTAGATGCCAATAGGAGAAATTTGTTTTGCTCTGCCTTTGTCTTCTGGAGGGGAATGTAGAAAGAGTAAGATGGTTGGTTTGTGTGCTGGGGAGATGTAATTGTAGCATACTGTTATCTACATTTTATTAACAGGATTTAAATGACTGATTACTAGAACAAATTTAGACATGATAAACAAGTTGAAGCTGACAGACACTGTTAAAAGATATTAGGAGACAAACCATTTTTTTTGAGCTGTGTTTTACATCTGTAAACATTTACAAAGTATTGTGTGTTAGATGTTACACATGATAAAGAAATGGAAGTCCTGATTTCGAGTCTGGAAATGAGGAAAAATTTGGGTTTATGGGTGATCAGTAGGCAAACAGAGGATAAATTAGGTCATATAACTACATACAGTGCTAATGGGGTGGGTGGCGGCAAGGGCCACACAGTTTTGGGAACTTGGAGAACTTTATTAGAAAAGTAGCATTCTATGTTATAGAAAATGATCCTTCTGGAGGAGGAATGGTAGTGAAACACTTCAAAAGAGTCAAACAATGTGATCAAAAGTATTGCAGATAAGTTATATGGGTAGTGTTTGGTACTTGTATGGATGGCAATAAGTCATGCATCTGTCAGAACAAATTAAGAAGTCAGAAGGGGCCCAACTCATAGGCCTAGTGCCTAAAGTCCTCACCTGGAACATGCCACAATCCCATATGGGCACCAGTTCTAGTCCCAGAGACCCTGCTTCCCATTCAGCTCCCTGCCTGTGGCCAGGGAAAGTAGTCGAGGATGGCCCAAAGCCTTGGGACCCTGCATTCATGTGAGAGACCAAGAAGAGCTCCTGGCTTTGGATCAGTGCAGCTCTGGCTGTTGTGCTCACTTGGGGAGTGAATCATCGGATGTAAGATCTTCCTCTCTGTCTCTCCCCTCTGTATACCTGACTTTACAATAAACATAAATAAATCTCTCAAAAACAAAGTCAGAAGTCTTTGCATTGTAATGGCAGAATATGTCTTTAATAATATTGTAATAATAAGTACCACTTACTGATATTTCAATTTATACAGGGTTCTATGTTAGATGCAGGGCATATATACTATCTAAAATGTTTTAATAACTTGAAGATTGGTGCTTTTTGCTTTTTATGACTAGAAAAAACAACCATCAAGTAAGTAATTGAGATAGCTCAAGTTTAGAGCTATGTGATTCTGAAAATTGACAGGACTTGCTTATTTTAAGTCACTGGGATTGATGGTTATTTTATAGAAAAAAATCATTTAATGTAGGAGGTCATTAAATGATTCTTTCCATGTCAAGTATGTATAATATAATGCAACTAAATGTATATTTATTTCTCTGTGTTTTTTAGTTGAGTAGAAATTTTCGGATTGGTGTTTCAGGAACCTTAAGAAAGTTTACAAGTTTTGTGAACATAGTATTTGTGTGCTCAGCAGTTTTCTAAATTACTGTTGCGGGGCCAGCAGCATTTGCATCAACATCACTTGAAAATGATTCGAAATGCAGATTTTTGTGGCTCTGTTCTATGCTTACTGAACCAGAGGCTCTGAAAGTAGAGTCCTGTCTTTTATTTTATTTTTATTAATTTATTTTTATTGATAAAGCAGATTTACAGAGAGAGGAAGGGACAGAATGCTCCTCCATTCACTGATTGACTCCTGATCGGCCACAGTAGCTGGAGCTGAGCTGAACTGAAGGTTGGATCCAGGAACTTTTCTAGGTCTCCCACCTAGAACCATCCTTTGCAACTTTCTGAAGCCATAAACAGACATAAAGAGAGAGTTGGATGGGAATGGATGGGAAGTGTTTTTTTTTTTTTTTTTTTTTAAGATTTGTGTATTTTTATAGGAAAATCAGATTTTACAGAGAGAAGGAGATATATAGTGAAATATCTTCCATCCACTCTTTTGCTCCTGAAGTGGATGCAACAGCCAGAGCTGAGGTGATCCAAAGCCAGGAGCTTCTTCAGGTCTCCCACAAGGGTGCAGGGGCCCATGGCTTTGGCCCATCCTCTACTGCTTTTCCAGGCTGCGAGCAGGGAGCTGGATGGGAAGTGGAACAGCCAGGACATGAATGGGATTTTGGCATATGGGATTTTGGCATATGGGATTTTGGCGCATGTCAGGCGAGGACTTCAGCCAGTAGGCTATCATACCAGGCCCCCATTTGTTTTTTAATAGTATTTTCAGATGATACTATTCTATGTTGTAATTTGAAAGCGAGTGAATTATGTTGTGACCTGAGAGTGCTCTTGGCAGTTGTTAAGCCAAAGGTTATAAAGGTGTGAACACTGATATAATGCCAGTCAGTATAGAAAGAAAGGGTGTTGAAGAAGAGTTTGCAGAACAGTTTGCTTGGTAGAATGAGACGTAACAGAACGTTGTAGTTAAATTGTTTGAGACTACATACACAGGTCTGGTTGAATAATGTCCCTTGAAAGGAAAAGATGGTTTGTGAGTGGATTAGTATGATTAACAATTTGGGGTTGGTTATTTTGATTTAATACACAGGCCTGGTATATTGGAAAGTGGATTGGACTGAAAAGAGTTAAATGAATCACCTTTTTGCATTGTAGTAGGAGTTGGGGCTCTGTAAGGGAGCAGAAAAGGCATTTGTTCAGTATCTTATTTTTAATTTGATAGTTCATATTTACAAATTTACATTTATTGTCTACTGCCTCTTTAATTCTTCCAAATAATATGATGAAATAAGTTTTAGGCTTGCTAAGTTACTGATGAGAAAATCGGAAAGTTGCCTTAGTCACACAGCTATTAAGAGGTATAGCTAGAACTCGTGCTCAGGCCTTTTGACTCTAAGCCTTTACTATAATACCACTCGACTTCATGTTAGATACTCTGCTTGATTTTTTTTTTTAAGATTTATTTTCATTGGAAAGGCAGATCAAATTTATGGAGAGGAGGAGGAAAGAGAGAAAGATCTTCTATCTACCGGTTCATTACCTAAATGGCTGCAGCTGAACTGATTCAAAGCCTGGAGCCAGGAGCTTTTTCTGGTTCTCCCATGTGGGTGCAGGGTTCCAAGGCTTTGGGGCATCCTCCACTGCTTTTCCAGGCTGTAATCAGGGAGTTGGATGGGAATTGGAGCAGCTGGACCATGGAATAGTGCCCATATGGGATTCTGGCACTTGGAAGGTGAGGATTTAGCACTTGAGCCATCACCCCAGGCCCCCTGCTTGACTAATGAAGTCTGCATTCTCCATAGCAGGTTGGCCGCTCTCACTAAGGGGACAGCCTGGGAATTCTAGGAAGCAGTGATTTGTTCCAAGGTAGAGAAGTGAAGAGCAGGAAAACCCAAACAAAATCAGTTAAATGGAAGATGAAGATAAAAGTCTTTGACCTCTTGGGCGAGGTGGCTGTTCTTTAGACAAAGTAGTCACTTAGTATATATGTGACTGAAAAGTATGTGTGGATGCTCTGACAACCTACAGAAACAGATGATGGAGGATCTTGACCTTCTGAAATGTACATGTGTGTGAGGGTCTTATACAGTGAATATGCAAATGAGGAGGCTAGACTATTACAAAAATGGCCTTTCCTTAATTGTACTTGTGATGTTTGAGGTCCCAGAAACTTTAACTTTTGCATATTATTATACAAATTAAAATTATTGCCTTTTATATTTAGTAAATATATTTAGTAAAAGTATTTTCTTTGTGGAAACTTCACAATCTTGTATTCGCCATATTGTCTGTGTTTACAAGCTAATTTTATCAGTATTGAGCAGACTGTATAAAGAAAAGTTCTCAATATATTCAGCTGTTTGAATATTTCTGTAAACATGGAAAATGTTAAGAATAATTTAAGTCACTACTTTTATGATGTACAGAAAAGTTCTTCTCATAGTGGGTGCTTAGTCTTTTCTACTCATTCTTTTATGATCACTACATTGTTACTCTGAGTTTCTCATCAAATTGAAAAATTACTCAAATCTTTAACAACTGCTTTCTTGACACTTTGGATGTTAAAGATATGAACATATAAAAGAAATATTAGAGATGTCTAATTAAATTTAGGGTGCCTCTGGAATTTGTTTTTCAACTTCATGGTAATTTTTAAATGATGCTCATTGCCAAATATCCCAGAAAAAGAAAGAAAACAAAATTCCAAATTAGCTTGATCGTTTCTGATTAATAACCACTTTGGTATTAAGGTAAGAAATCTTACTATGTAACTGATTTTTCTGTGCTAGCATTCACTTTTTCTGGATATGGTTAACTTGTTAAGTAAGATCATAGTATTCACTGCATTAATTTATCTTTTTTTTAAGCTATGAATTTGTGAAATACCTTAGACAGCACATATGCAACACTCTGGGATCAATGATTGAGGAAGAAATGGAAAAATGCATATCCGATCAGAATCAAGGTGATGTATCTGGGTATGACACAGTTGTACAGCATGTGACCAAGAGGACTCAGGAATCTCAAGAGTGAGTATTCACCTGCTAGTGGTTTTTTATTTTTACATTTTTTGAAAATTATTATTTTTTTTCATTTTATGATACAATTCCATAGGTTCTGTTATAGGTTATCCCCTTCCAAAATTTCACCCTCGCTGATAAACCCCCCCCCATTATTACAATAGTATAGTTCTTCATAAGCAGTTGTATGTCCATGATTCTGCTACTTAAGTGTATCCTGACATTGCAGGTATCAAGAATGGCAGAGAGTCCAGCATCCCATTGTCAAGGTGTATTTAAAAGTTTCATAGGGAATCCATCTTTCATTTGGAAGTAGAGATGCATACTGCATTTTATCTTCACATTTAGATATGATAGTCTCTATTACACAGTTATACATTCTCTTAAGTGAAAAGCCATGAAACAAAATCAGCAACAGAAATAAAGTTTAAAAAAATTTGCAGCACTTTGAAGTTGAAAAACCCACCACTGAATAACTGACTCATGGGTCGGTTAAAATGAAAAAAATGAAAAAGCAAATAAAGAGCCTTCTTGGAGAAAATGATGCCACTGTTTGACCCAGGAGTCAGTGAAAAATTTAATAAGAGAAAAGAAACTATTTCGAAGAAATGAAAATAAAAACAAAAATATCAGAAACCATGAGTTGCAGCAAAAACAGCATTAAAAAGGTTATTGATCTTGTTTTGCATGTAGGTTGCCTTATATCAGAGAAAACATATGATATTTGTCCTTTTGGGATTGACTTATTTCTCTGAGCATAATGCCAATACTGTTTTAATGTAATATTTGTCTCAGCACGGCTCCTTGTCAGCACTCCCAATGCACCATTTCCTTGTGTTTTTTTTTTTTCATATTTGCCCGTGTAATTCTTTGAAACAGCTAGATAGCTCACGACACTCTTTTCGTAACTCTCTCCATGGGCTTCTAATCTTGCCCAAATTAAAATCCAGAGTTCTACTGTTCTTTTATTCCTAGCATACTTGCTCCTCCAACCAACTTGAGTAAGTTATCTGGTATACCCTAGAACATATAGACTAGATAACTTATTTTTATTGTTTGTTTTTACTTCTGATAGTTTTTACCTTATTCACCGTTTTGAATTTAAAGATACAAAGAAATGATGCATTCCCTGAAGAACATTATGATGATAGTGGTGGAGTCAATGATGAACAAGTTCGAAGATGATGAGATACGAAGCCAAGAAAGGCAGAGAAAAATCCCGAAGGAGAAGAGCAATAGTTACTGCACAGACAATTGCTCTGACAGTGATTCGTCCTTTAATCAGGTATGTGGTTTTGTTTACAGATTTGGTTAGAAATCATGTTTAATATTCTCTAGTTTTTTTTAGAAGCTTTAATGCATTCTTTATTAGCCAGATCTCCTAATTTTATAGCTCAGAAGAAAAACAGTATCTAAAAAGAACATCTTTTGGGTCTGTGTAAAGACTGAATGGCTAAATCTTGTCTTGCACTCGCCTGGGTGCCATATGGGCTCTCTGGGCTGCTCCACTTTTTCATAAGCTTTCTGCATGTGACCTCAGAAAGCAGTAGAGGATGGTCCAAAGCCTTGGGACCCTGCACCTACATTGGAGACCCAGAGGAGGCTCCTGGCTTCTGACTTTGGATTGGGTTAGCTCCACTCTGCACTGTCATTGGACTCTTGGAAGAAGCTCCTGGCTCCTGGTGTTGGATTGTCTCAGATCTAGCTGGTATGGCTACTTGCCAATTGAACCAGCAGCAAGAGGATCTTTTTCTCTTCCTCTTTGTAAATCTGCCTTTCCAATAAAAACAAATTTTTTTTAAAAAAGAATAATACAGTTGAAAGAAGTCTCCTAAAACTTGAAGTGTCTCTTTCCCAATTAATCCTTTCTGAGGCAGAAAGGGGTGGGTATGGAGAGAAACAGAGAGAGAGAGGCAGAGAGAGAATGAACTCCCTTTTACTGGTTCATACCCTAAATGCCCTCAGTCGCTGGGGCACTGAAGCTGGGAGCTGGGAATTGGTGATACATCAGTGGCATGAGCCCAGTAGGAAGCAGGAATTAGGAGCTAGAGCCGGGATTGATCCCAGGCATCCCAATGTGCAATACGGTATCAAAAGCTTGACCAATTGCCTGCCCATTTTAAAATCTTATTCTATTGACAAAAGATTTGATGTCTTACATTTTCTCCAACTAAGGGAATGAGAGCTCATTTCTTTTGACCACAGTAGGGCCAAGGGAAAGATAAGTCCTTGGCTGGACAAGCTTTAGTAGAAGATGTAGGGAAGTTGTTAGTCCAGAGCCATGCACATTAAACTTCTGCACAGAGACTTCCAGGCCAGAATGTGTGTGTGTGTGTGATTTTAGTGTGATTTCTAAGCTGGTATTTTTAGTAAATTTTCAGATAATTAGAGATATGTTAGGGACATAACCCTAAAATAATTCCTGACCATTAGTGCTATAGAGGTTTGTGGTGGGCTTTTGGCCTAGTGGTAAAGGTCTGGTTAGATTGCCATGTGCCATATTAGTCCTGGGCACTGTGAGGATTTGGCTAAGTGTTTTAACAGATAGGAACTGTTTCTCTTTCTTCCTTTCAATTAAGAAAAAAAAAGACAAAACACCAAAAAAGATTTTGAGAAGATTTTGGACGAACATAAAAAAATATGTGTTTTGGTCTCTTTTTGTCTTCTATGATTGAAGGAAATAATGGCTTTGAAAATATTAAAAGTAGAACTTTAAGGTTAATGTGCCTGCCATTCCATCATTTTACATGAGAGATTGTGCTGAGTTGCAAATGTATTTACAAGTCAGGCTGATTACCTGGTGTGATGGAGGATGTGACAAAATGGATTTTCTTAATATCGTAGGTCTTGGTCATTTCTTATTGTGACAGTGTTTGGAAGAAGGTGGGGCGTAGTTGTATTTTAACTTAATCTGGTCAAATGACTTGTTTTAAAGGCTTCTTAACTTCCTCATATCAAAGACTTTTAGAATACAAAAGCACAAAAAAAATAAATTTCAGAATTGAATTCACACGTTACATGTTTTCGTTTACTTGATGAGTCACTTTAACAGACTAAAATAGAAAAAATAAGAGAAAAAGAAATGAAACATTTCAATTTTGTTCTAAGAAGTACAAATATTTGAACCTAATGAGGATCGACTTAGTAGCTGTCAGTTCAGTTTATTAATTACAAGACACTAAATTATTTCTTATCACTAGAATCATAGATTTTTGAGGGCATACAAAATTTTGGTTGAGATGGCATTGCATGAGAGAAGAAAATAGTTTTGGAAGTATTTGAAGCATTCAGTTTATAAGGTCTCAGTCTCAAAATATAATCTTTTGAAAGTTTTGTTTTTAAGTTGTTGAGAATGGTGTGTGCTTTCATTTTCTGTTGTTGCCTTTGAGATATCTATAGAGGATAACTGAATTTTCAAGTGTTTGACTTACGAATATAATTTTATTTTGTAAGGGACTAGTTGAGTTGAAAGTGAATTCTTTTACCAAGAAGGGGTAGAATGCTTGGATATTGAAAAGAAACATGTAAGTCAGAACTTGTCTGAAAGATGTTTGTGACCTAGCTCTAAGAGATTTTTGGATAATCTTATAAGAGACCATCTTTTGTGAAACTGATCGAAGAAGACAAAAGTAGAAAAACTCAGCAAAGGAAAAAGTAAACCCAAAGCACACAGTGAGATTATTTATGCAAAAAAGACAACCAAGTTACTACCTCTCAACAATAATTCATCCTTCCGTTTCTTTCTCTTTTTTCCTATTGTTTGTTCTTAATTTTTTTCCTTAGTATGTACCTTCATGTCTGTAAATATGTTTGCATGTTAAAAATATTTATATGGGGGGGGAATATTTCGTTACATTCATGGTTTCGCTTCTGTTACCATCAGTAGACATTTTCACCATTGAGTTGGTACAGAAGCTCTGCAGGCTAATCTTCCATTTGCAGTACCAGTATTCCACATGGGCTTTGATTCTAGTCCCACATGCTCTACTTCCAGTTCAGTTTAGTTTTAAAGAGAGTAGGATGTTGGGATAGAGGAAATGAGAGGTGCAGAGAAAATCTTATGGGTGACCAAAGACTATTTCTTTGAATATATTTTTTTTTGATTTTCTAAAATGAGGGTGGTCATTAAAAACCTCTGAAGGAAGAACATTACCATGCTAGAGAAGAGAAAGGGGCAAATATTATTCAGCTAGAGCGAACTTGGCACCTTTAGGAAATGGAAAGAAGGTAATATGATTCAACTATGGAAGGTGATACCAAGAGTGATGTATGAGAGTGTTTGATCCAGATAGAGTAAGTGTCTGCTGTTTTTGTCTGTTTATGTTTTCAACTTTGCATTTTCTCATGTTTCTGGGTGTACAGTTTTTGTGTATATGATGTGTCCCACAGTATTACACACATTACACTTGGTCAGCAGGTAATCATAGTTTTTATATACTCGTAGCTGCATTGTCTTCCTGAGAGATCCAGTTTCCATTTAAAAGCCTTGGGAAACAAACATTCTAAAACTACTGTCGAGTCAGAATTGAAAATCCCCTTTCTTTTGTTAAGAATTGATGTTATACTTGGAATTAAATATTTTAAAAAATTATTTATTTATTTGAGGCCATAGTTACAGAAAGAGAAGAAACAGAGCTCTTCCAACTGCTGATTCACTCCTCAGATCCTTACTACAGTTGGAGCTGAGGCAGTTCAAAGCCAGGAGCTGGGAGCTTCCTCCATATCTCCCATGGGGGTGGCAGGGACCCACGTGTTTTGGTTATCTTCCACGGCTTTTCCTAGCCTGTGTGAAAGGAACTGGATTAGAATTGGAGCAGCTGGGAACTGGCACCAATATGGGATGCTGACATTGCCGGCAGCAGCTTTACCAGCTACTTCTCAACTCCAGCCTTGTTTTATGATAATATTTCCTAATATCTGCTAGATAAATGAGTGTTCTGTCCATTGTGTTACAGAGTTACAAGTTTTGCCCGGGAAAATTGCAGTTGATTTTAGACCAATTGGATCCTGGGCAACCTAAAGAGGTAAGTTAAGGGGAATCTGCCAAGTCTGGTTAGATGCTGCACGTTATTAATATACTAGGTTACCATCAGTAGCAACTGAGTTGTTTCTTTAAGACTGGACCTTTATTGTTTTTAATAATCCTAGATTGATATTCCTGGTAAACTTTCGATCCTGAAATGAAAGGTCATGGGCTAGGGAAGACTCAGATTAGACAATTGTCATGGTTTGTAAGTGGACATTTTTATTTCTAGCTTTAGTTTCTAAGGACTGAATTCATGAGTAGTTGTCCCTCAAAATTCCTCTTTCTGCTGTGCTGTAATGATTTCTCAGAGAAAACCTTTTTATTTAATGCTTCTCCTACTTAAAAGTATTTTCAATGGGCAAATTTATATATACATATATATATATAAATGGACGTGTTTTGAAATATATATATATGCACATTGAGAAATTTTTTTGATAGTGAGCTAATTAAAATGTCAAGCCAATTAACACTTTAAAACTTATTGTCAGTAATTTTCAAAAACAAAATATATTGTTGCTAACTATAGTCGCCATACTGTATAACAGCTTTCTTGAATTCATTTCGCATATTTGACTGCAGTTTTTGTATTTTACTAACATCTCTTGAACTTTGATACATTTCAGAAGCTTTGACACCTTTGTGCATTTACAAGAAAAATAATTTTTAGAGAATTTGTTACTTTCAAAAAATTTATTTAGTTACTTAAAAAGGCAGAGTTGCAGAGAGAGAAGGAGAGGCAGGTAGGGAGGGAGGAAAGGAGCAGAAGATAGACATTGAGAGAAAAAGAGAGAGAGAGCTATAACATCACAGACTCACCAGGCTAAAGGCAGAAACTAGGAGCTTCATCTGGGTCTCCAGGAGGGGTACAGGATTCCAAGTTCTTAGTTGCTCTTCAGTTACTTTCCAGGCACATTAGTGGGGAGCTGAAGCAGAAGTGGAGCAGCTGAACCGTTGCCCATATTGGATACTGGAGTTGCAGGTAGTGGCATAGCTTACTATGCAACAATGCCAGTCCCTTATCTCAAAGTTTTTTTTTTTTTACCTTTTTATTTTAAACTAAATAAATAATATGCTTTATTCTCACTGAAGTTTTTTTTAAGAAAAATCAGAAAAATTCTTCTCAGCATTTTGTAATCTGTTTTTTTAAGGTTCTTATAATAACATGTTTCAGAAGATACTTGAAATGAGGTTTGACTTTTATATAATTCAGCTTAAATAGATTATTTGCAAATCTGTACTGTTCAGAAGCCCTTATTTTGCTTCTGCAAGCACTATTTTCTCTATGAGGTTTTATCCTAAAAGCTAACTGAACAAGAGAAATTACTTGGTGCTGTAAATAGATTCTTTTTTTTTTTAATCTTTAGTTTCCAGTGTTGAAAACTCTCATTGTGTTTTCCCTATGCCTACTACAAATAAAACTTTGTTGGGGTTTCTGTCTTTTGAATTTGTATTTTCAAATGTTAGTATTTTAGTTTTAATTGGAAAATGTTCAATGTCAAATCTCCAGAAGTCTTGTGTCCTGTCCATAACAATTTACCTTTTTATTCACTCAGCTTCAGATGACACAGGTGGGGAATGACCAGAGTTGAGGTCCACATTGGAATTAGTGTGTCTGTATTGACTTTTTAGAACAGCTTTGCTCCATTTATCATAGGAGAGGAGCTATTCTGTATTACTGTATATCTGGTCACATGACTTTGAGTTATTGCTGTATGCATCTTGAGGAGTGAATTTTTTTCAATGTTCAGGCATTAAATTTTGGATTTCAGGTTTGAACAGCTTTCCCCCCACGCCCCCAAATCAGTAGTTTACAAGGCTGGAAAAATAAGATACAAAGAAGAAACAAGTTAAAACAATTTTATTTTGTGTGTTTAAGAGGACTGTGTATATATTCTGGAATGAATGTTTCATCAGGAACAATCTAGAGGACCGTGTATGAGGGTCTATTAAAATGGAAGAGTGTAGAGTGATGATAGTTGATAACATTGCCTTGGTGATCTTGATTCAGCCACTGCACCCTCTGTTCTGTTTAGACATGAGACCTAGAATTTTTTCATAGATTAATATTAAAATTTTTGTCTTACACAGAATAACAACCTATATTTCCTGTACAACCATTTAGATGAAAATGAGTTCTCAAGAATTATTCTGTAAAAGTGTATCATTTTCTTAACTCTTTAAAATAGTTGTGATTCTGGCTTTAGGTAATCTCTTAAATACTGTGTTAGAGTTTATATTATTGTAGTAACTAAGTATTAATAGCAAATACTATTTTACAGGTGAGATATGAAGCCTTGCAGACCTTGTGTTCAGCTCCTCCATCTGATGTCCTGAATTGTGATAATTGGACTTCTCTCTGTGAAAGACTGAAAGTGGCTCTATCAGATCCTGACCCAGTGTTTAGTGTAAGGCAATGATTATAGAAATGTTATTAATTTCTCTTATTATGCTAGAAGCACATGGAATATAATAGTTTTATTTAATAGCTGAAATATTTATGGAATTTCAATGTCAGGTTTTGGGTTGTTCAAATTTTCTTCAAAGGAAAGAACTATTTCATGATTAGTTTCAAAGTTTCGTCAGTAGCATACTTCACTGTACTCAGATGTCAAGTATGCATTTTAGTTTGTTTTATGAAAGGTTATTCAAGGATCTGTGTTGCCTTTTTTTTTCTTAATTTAAGATACATATATAAAGATAGTGTCTATGAGGTACTACATGATATTTTATTACATACATACATTGTGTGATATCTAATCAGAGTGGATATATTTATCCTTTCAAGTATTCAACTTTTTAAAATAGTAAATGTATCTAAAGGTATATTTTCTATAATTTTTAAATGGAGAAACATGTTAAATATTATATCATTCTGCTGTGTGAAGAGCTCAGGAACTTCCTGTTCGTATCTAGCTTTAATGTAGCACCTGTCAGTCAAGTTTTATTCTTTTGTCCCTCAGCATTTCCCATTATATCCTCTGGTGTTAGCCATTGTTAGCCATTTTTGTATTTTAATGTTCTATACAATCTCCAGTTGTCTTTGAATGGACACTGGAATAAGATCATGTGGTAGTTGTTTTCTGTGCTTGGCTTGTTTCACTTAATGGTGTCATTCATTTTGAGCTAAGAAAAGTGTTTTTCTTTTTTTTTTAATATTATTTATTTTGAAAATCCGACTTACAGAGAGGATTGAATAAGAGTGAATGTGCAAGAGAAATCTGCCATCCCTCCTTCACACTCCCCAGTTTACTGCATCTGCCAGCTCCGGACTAGGTGGAAGTCAGAAGCCATGACCTTCAAGCCTGGCTCCCACGTGGATGACAGGGACCTAGACACTTGGGTCACCTTCTACAACTTTTCCCAGGCTGCTAGCAGGAACTGGATTAGAAGTGGATCAGTAGGGTCATGGACTGGTGCCCATGTGAGATGTTGGCATTGTAGGTAGTGGCTTCACCCACTGTAATTTTTTATTCATTTATTTTATTTTTATTGGAAATTCAGATATACAGAGGGAAGGAGAGACAGAGAGGAAGATCTTCCATCTGCTGATTCATTCCCCAAGTGGCTACAATGGCCAGAGTTGTGCCAGTCTACAGTCAGGAGCCTGTTCCGGGTCTCCCATGTGGGAGCAGGATCCCAAGGTTTTGGGCCGTCCTCTACTGCTTTGCTAGGCCACAAGCAGGGAGCTGGATGGGAAGCAGGGGCAGCAGGATTAGAACCAGCATCCATATGGGATTCTGGTGTGTTCAAGGCAAGGACTTTAGCTGTTAGGCTACAGCAACGGGGCCCACTCAGTATACTTCTTCATTAGCTTCAAGAGAAATGTCTTAAAATAATTCATAATATGTGAAAACATAAAAATGAAGAATTAGTATTCTAGCAGATTCATCATAATTTTATTTCTGCAGCTATGTTTTTAGAGGTTGCATAACTGCTTAAAAATGAAAGAAAACTGTGAAGCTAACACTTTATAAAACCAAGAATTTAAGAAGTAATTTAAAATAAATCATAAAGGAGCTAGAGAAAATTAAAAAATGGCTATTTGTGCTTGTTCTGTTTTTGCTATTTTAGATCATATTTTCCTGTTTAGAGATTGATAAATCTGATGTATAGCCCCGCATTTTTAAGCATTAAATGGAGCCTTTTCACATTTTGTGAATTATAAGCAAAATCCTAAAAAACAATACAGAAGCAAGTTTAAAAACAGAGTGTAGATAACTGTCACCTTAAAGCAGAGGATCGGAGTGAGATGTGACCCCTGTGTGATTCAGTGAGGTGTAATTTTAGAAGCCATGTATATAAATGTATGTTATATTGAATCTATAAATATATTATTTAATATATTATATAGAATACACATAGCAGTGATATATCTTAATATATATTATGTAATATAATATGTTAGATAATATATGATATATTGTTATATATAATGTGTATTATTTAATATATCCAAAATATTAGATATATATGAGAATTTTTAGAGAGCTTTTCTCTTCCTAACTGACACATGAATGAAGAAAGCTGCAGATGTTCATTGTGTTTTGTAGAGTTGAATAGCTACAATTGAGTCTTTTTAGTTTAGATGCTAGGAATACACTTTGTTTTTTATTTTTATTTATTTATTATTACTATGATCATTTTATGATACAGTTCCATACACTCCTGAGAGTTCCCTTATCCCCTTTCCATTTCCACCCCACCCCACCTAATTCCTCTATATCATTACTACAATATAGTTCTTCATACACAGTCATATGTCCATCATTGAGGGCATGGACAATGGCAGAGAGTCCAGCATCCTATTGTCAAGATACAGTAAACAGCTTTCATTGTAAGTCTATCTTTGGAAGTACAGATACATTAGGGAATTATTTTCTTATTATTTCATTAAATATATTTGTAAAACCAGTTTCACTTTTTGTACCTTCTGCGAGTCCAATAGCTCTTATATTTGGCCTCTTAATATTGTCTTTCAATTCTTGAATACTTTTTTTGGCCTGATCCAGCTCTACTTCCAGCTGTTTGTTTCCCCCTGGTGACAGGAAATATTTTCCAATTCTGAGATTCTTTCTTCTGCTTGTTTCATTGTATTTTGGAGACTCTCCATTGTACTTTTAATTTGCTCTACTGTGTTCTTAATTTCTGATAGATCAGCCTTGATTTGCTTTCTTGCTGCTATTTTCTGTTTAACATATTCCTTAAATTCTTTGAACTCTTGCATGTGCTTCCATTGTTGACCAGAAGCTTTAAAATGAGTTCTCTGAATTCTGTGTCCCTCATTTTCTCGATGTCTTCCTCAGTTAACTCTGAGGTTGGCAAAGGGTTTTGCTCCTTTACAGGGGAGTCTTTAGTGATATTCATTTTATCTGTCTTCTTTTGCTCTTGGTCATTGTACTTCTGGTTATCAGAATCTTCTCCTTGGGGCAGGTTTCTAAGCTGTGTCACCCACAGGTCTACAGTTCGATTTTGCTTATTGCAGTTGGTACCCAGCTTTTTGCTTGCAGCCACTTGTGCCACTCATTCCAGTGAGTTCCAGGTCTGGGTTCTTATGTTAGATTTCCACCATGGTCTCTGTAGTCCCAGCTCCTGGCTCACCAGTCTCCACCTCCTGTGATACCGTGCTGAGGTTGCACAGTTGTCTCTGCAACCATTCTCTCATGTCTTATTGGAGCAGGTCCTAGGATTAGAGAGACAGCAGGTGTCCTATAAATCTAGGTTGTTGTTGGTGCTAATCATGCTGGAACCTGTTGGCTGTTTGGTCTGGGTGCCGCACGGAACTATTTTGACCCACACAACGCCACAGTCGGTTATTAGTGGTATTATTTTCCTGCGGGACCAGTGCAATCCATGGAACTCAATGAGTTCTCGTGAGCTCAGCACATGTGCAGTTCACTGTTATCCCCTGCAGTCCTAAAACATTTGCCACACTGTACTAAATAGTGCCTGACGTACCACTAGTAGAGTTCTTGATCTGCTGGCTGTCAGGTCTGAGGGCTACTTGGACCTGTCTTGGGTGGAACCCATAGAATGCTATGTTGCTGCAGTTCACTGAGTCAGAAATGAATTCATTCCCAGCTCAGTGTATGCTCAGTCCTTTCTCTTGCCTTTGCCTCCTTAAGCATAATGGCACCCGATTCAGTTGTAGGGGGCTGACTGGGCTATGAAATCCACCCTGTTCTCGCACTGCCTGTCTATGATCTGCTGCTCTGTCTCTGCTCTTGGTCAAATCAAACGGACCAGCAAGGTGGACAGTTCTTTGTGCTCACCTCCCAAGCTCCTGGTGAAAGTACCTTTCCACCAGGTTGCTGGTGGAGTTCCGGCTGCTGGTGGAGTTCAGATCACCATTAGCTGATTGCCACTGGAGTATCAATCACTGCCACACCACACCGTTGTGTCTGCTGCTTTCCTGTGTCTGTCAGTCTCCTGGTACCCCTCTGCTGTGGTTCTGTCCATTCCTTTTTTCTGCAATGTATCCTCTGTGCTTCATCCTGATTAAATGTTTCTCCGTCTGTTTAATCGTGCCCTTACCCTATTCTGCATTCTTGATTCTCTGGGAATACACTCTGAATAAGACGAAAGTGTTTGCCCTGAAAGAACTGACATTCTAGTAGAATAAGTAGATAATAAATAGTTATAGAAAAGTTTATGTCAAAACGTCTGTTAACTTAAAAGAACATTGTACTGTCAGTGAAGATGTAATGCTACTGATAACAAATGATTTGGGAACTACAAGTTTTTTCCCTTTTAAAAGGAAAAAAGATGTATACATAAAACTTGGATGTAGTTCAAACTTTTGAACACCAGAGGGTAATACAGATTCTGTAAATACCCAGCAACCCAAGAACTCCTAGTGGGGAAAAAGTATTTTGTAGTTGTTTTTAGCCTTTTAGGGCTCTTTAAGTGCAGTTGTAAATTTCCCTGCATTTCTTTTTCTTTAGAATCAGACAGAAGAGAGGCTAAATTTGCTTTATTTTGGAAATTATGCTTACAAATATAGAAAAGCTCCTAAAGTGTTTATATTACATTAATTAGCCTTGATAGATTATGTAGCAAAGATATGTTTCTTAAAGTAGAAAGCTGTTGTTATAGAGGAAAAATTGTGAGACAGTCTGTCATTTTGAAATAGAGAACAAGAGATGATATTCTTTTCATTTCTTTGTTGTGCTTGATCCAAAGTCTTTTTATGTTTTGTGCTCCGGTTTTCAGTACTCTTACATGTAATTGAGTGAAGCCTTTGGAGATTGAAAACTGTGACAGTCACATTAATATTTTGCCTCCTCTAGATTAGAGATTTGAAGAAACTTCACTTTGATGTAATGAGAAGTTTGATTTCACTATTTGCCTTAGTAGCATTTTATTTTTAAAGCTGGTATAATTAAATGACCATAACAGTTATTATTATTAGTTGCAGTCACTATTCTAACTACATCCTTTGTGTCGTTTTACTTTACACTCAATAAATGAAAAATCTTGGAGGAGATCCTGTAGCACAGCACGTTAAGCTGTGGCCCGGGATGCCTGCCTCTTCTGTTGGAGTGCCAGTTTGAGATCCAGCTGCTGTACACTCTAGCTTCTTGCTGTTGTGCCTAGAAGGCAGTTGATGGTGACCTGAGAGCTTGGAATCCTGCCACACATGTGGGAGACCTAGGTGTTATCTCTGGCTGCTGGTTTTACACCCTGCCTAATCGGGGCTGTTGGCGGTTACTGGGGGGTGAACTAGCCAATAGTAGAGCTGCTCACTGTTTAGCACTCTGTTTTTCAAATAAATTAATACATTTTGATAGTAAAAAAAATTACAAAATCTTGAAATGTTCCATAATAGTTTTCATGGGAATAGGTAAATCAACAGATAGAATGCTAATAAATTCCTGAAACTATCTATATAAGCAAACAACAACAACAAATAAAACAGATGTTGTTGCATTAGGAAGTGTTTTTTATTATTGCCTAACCTACTTGTTCTTCTTATTTGTACTTTTACATTATTCTTTTTTGGCCCTCACTTCCTTTATGTCTTATTACACCAGAACATAATCGTACTAGCTTTTGCAGAAGTATATTGATATGATTACATTTACTGTTAGCTTCTGTCAGTTTACTTTTTTGCTTAACTAAATCAAGAATTTGCCTTTTAATATATTTTCTTGGATTTTTATTTGAGGGGCAAACACAGAGGCAACAAGGTGCAAACAGAGTGCCCGTGTGCTGGTTCACCTCCAGAGTATTCACAACGCTTGCTGGAGCTGAACCAGGCCAGAGGTGGAAGCCGGAAACTCCATCTATTACTTTCAGATAGGAGGCAGGGTCTCACTCACTTCTGTCTTCCAGAGCTTGGCTGTGAACCCAGAGACTGCTGAGGGCTATGTCTTATTTGGTGTCTTGGTTGCTATGCGGAACATTCTAATATGTCCTTTTTGAGTACATTAGGTGTGTTTCTACTTTGTGTTTATTTTCTGAGTTATTTTCTGTCTTGTTGTAAGAATATTAGATGCATATTTTTATTTCATTTCTCTAGGACCGTATTTTGAAATTCTATGCACAGACATTTACGCTTTCACCATTATATATGACCAAGGAGATTTATGCAAGTTTAGGTATGTTTATTAAATCATTTTAGTGTTTTCTTTTTTTTTTTTTTTTAAAGATTTATTTTTATTATTTTTTCATTGGAAAGGCAGATATACTGAGAGGAGAGACAGAGAGGAAGATCTTCCGTCCGATGATTCACTCCCCAAGTGAGCGCAACGGGCCGATACTATGTCGGTCCGAAGCCAGGAGCCTCTTCCGGGTCTCCCACGCGGGTGCAGGTTCCCAAAGCTTTGGGCTGTCCTCCACTGCTTTCCCAGGCCACAGGCAGGGAGCTGGAAGGGAAGCGGGGCTGCCGGGATTAGAACCGGCGCCCATATGGGATCCCGGGTGTGCGAGGTGAGGACCTTTAACCACTTGCGCCACCGCGCCGGGCCCAGTGTTTTCTTTTTTACATGTAATTAAGAAAAATGGATAGGAAGTAACTTTTCAGAAAGGATGTAAATGAATGGTATAATGGTTTTATATTTTTGTTTTTTTTCAGCTAAATATTTGGAAATATATTTTCTTTCTGGAGAAAACCATATTCCTAGTCTTTCAGCTGGTGTAGATATAACTAATCCCAATGTGATCCGCGTACTTAAAAAGGTATGCATTTGTTAAAATGTGCTTTTATTTTTATGTAAGTAGTTTTATATTTAAGAATTTTAATTTTTGAGGAATGTTGTGTACTGCCTTGTAGGTTCGTCTTCTAAATGAGTATCAGAGAGAGGTTCCATCTTTCTGGATACGTCACCCAGAGAAGTAAGTCGCTTGACTAATGCTGAAAGAAGACCTAACCTTTCTGCTCTGTGTGTATTTTAAAAACAGGCAATAAAGGTAGTTTCAACAGTTTTTGTTTGTCTTTGCTGCTTTGTATAAGTGTCTTAAATGTTCTTTAAGCTTTTTCCTTTATTTCTGAAATTTTAAAGACAGATGTAAGTATGTCTGTGAATGAGCCACTGTTGAAATACAAACAGTATCAGTTTTTGAAGCATAAAGGTTGGATGTAAATCAAACAGCTATTGCTTACTGAAATGAAAATTTGTTCCTGTAGATTGAATATTACTTTATCAAATAATCAGAGTATCACTAGCCCTAGTGTATCTGTCATAACATTTGTCATTTCTCTAAAATCACTTATTTCTCAAACATTAAGGTATATGGAAGAAATTGTGGAGAATACTTTGTCTTTGCTATCAGTTAAACATGATCAAAGCCATCTTATTTCACAGACGATTTTAGATCCAATCTACTTTTTTGCATTGGTCGACACCAAAGCTGTGTGGTTCAAAAAGTGGATGGTAAGGAAATATTTTTATACTCTCCTGTGCATTGCTATATCATTCTGAAGAATAGCTGATGTTTTAGTATTTTCTGTGGGGTTAGAGTTTAATTGCTTTTTCATTTGATTTTATAAAGATCTGTGAGGTAGATGATAATACTCAATTTTTAAGTTGTAATGTTTGAGGCATGGAGAAATAAAGTTGCCTGAGATTATTTAATAAGAGGCACATCAAGAATAGGATTTTAAATGACAGTTAATTTGAATCTCTAGTTGATCTATGCTTACAAAGTCTAAATTTGTTAAAGCTTTAAAAATTTTTAAAATAGACATGATAGGACAGGAGGGTTTAGTGTTCATTTTCTTTTAAAAGATTTATTTATTTGAAATAGAGAGAGAGAGGTATCTTCCATCTGCTGGTTCACTCCCTAAGTGGTCACAACTTCCAGGGCTAGGCCAGCCAAAGCGGTGTTCAGTTCATCAACATGGGTATCAGATCTCAAGTGGTTGGACCCTTTTCTGTTCTGTTCTCAGGAGTACCTGCAGGATGCTGGAGGTGAAGTGGATATCCTAACTTGCAGGTGGTATCCTAACTTGCTGTGCCACAAAGCCAGTGTCAGGATGCTCATTTTGCTGTGTCATAGCAAAAGTGGCAGTGTATTCATTCAGTACTCAGCATGGCTTGGGTATTACCTAGCTGATGGCTTCTTTTTTGGCCTTTTGTTATTTAAATCATATGATAATTGTCTAAACAGTACACAGTTCTATCTTTGGTAATTTACTTTACCTGGTCTATAAGTTGTTTTTGCAAATGTCATCTCAATTTAGTTAATTCAGCATAAACTCCTTTTCCTCATTTCAGAAACTTTTTTTATTTTTGTATTGATTATTCAATTATACTGTTATTGAAGAAAATTAGCAAAATATGTAAGTGTATCAGTAAAATTAACTTTTTCAAATTAAACAGCATAGCAATAACAACTTCTAAGGGTTTGGCTTATGTTGATGCTTCTCATCTATTTAGTTTTTTTTCAAAATTCAAATTATTGTACTAATGACTTGAAGTTAATTTCTTTTCTGTACATATTTTATTGCCACAACACGATTTCCTGAGAGAATGGGGCAGATCACACCTGAAAAACTAACCAATAAAAAGTCATTAAAAATCAGATATCTGAGAGTGTCTACCGTCAATGCAAATTCATCGCATCCTCTAAACCCTTTGTACCTCTACGGACAAGACATTAAATAAGTGTATCTTTGTCCATGTGGGCTTGTTTAAGTTATTTAAAATATTGTGATGCCAAAACATTCATGCATAAATGTGTGAACAGTATCCCCATGTGGTAAAACTTTCTTTTTTGCCTAGTCAGGCAGTACGTTGAGTTTTATCTGAAGGTTTTATTTGGTTAATTCTCTAAACTCTGAGGGTTCCTTTTCAGAATATGGATAGAAAATGATTATATATCAAAATGTTTCTCTTACTAAAGTCGTAAATGGTTTTTGAAACATTTTAAGCATTGTGGTTAAAAAATTCTGATTAATCTTTAATGAGCAAAAACCTAATCACTTGAAAAAAATCACTTTTTTCCAAGAGTTTTGATCATCTTTTCTGGGATTTACCATACTTACTATTTTTTTGTTATTCCTAGTTAAAATGTAGAAACTATATCTATTAATAGTAATCACAGCTAACACCAAACAGATTTTATAGTTTTCCCTGTTTTGCGTTATGCTATGCATGTACATGTCTTAATCTCATTTTTATTTATGTCTAGGTAGAGAATGAAAGCTTTTTAGGAATGTTAAATATGTTAAAAAAATGATTGGCAGTAAATAATTAGGATACTGACTGTTCGGATCCTTTCAACCTTGGCAAATTCCCGTTTCTGTAGACAGTGTGAATTCTCATCAGAGAGGTTCTCTCCTTCCCATTTGTATGTTTTCCTTGAGTTCTATTGTGATTTGGGATTGTCATTTTAAAATAGCATGAAAATTGGGTCCAGGTTATGAATAGAAGGGGGTTTTGCTGGTCTGCACTAGATAATTTATGTTTTTGATGTGATCTGTGTCCTTATGATAGCTGTGCTCTTAATACAGAGTATGTGAAAAGCCTGTTTGGTATTGGTTGTGATAATTGAAACTTAAGCTGCTGTGTGATTTATATTAAAACTAATGAAAGGAAAACAGATTTTGACTGGCCTAACTTGAATGCTAAATATCGTTTCCTTTGAATTTTAGCATGCTCATTATAGCAGATCTACAGTACTGAGGCTCCTTGAAAAGAAATATAAGTCTCTGGTAAGATTGCACTTATTTATTTTTTAAAGATTTATTTATATTTCTTAAACTGGAAAGTCAGATTTACAATGAAAAGGAGAGGGAGAGAGAGCTTTCTTTTATCAGCCTGTTCGTTCCCCAGGTGGCTGCAATGACCAGGACTGAGCTGATCTGAAGTCAGTAACCAGGAGCCAGGAGCACCTTCTGGGTCTCTCACATGAGTGCAGGGTCCCAAGGCTTTGGGCCATCCTTGACTGCTTTCTCAGGCTGTAAGCAGGGAGCTGATTGGGAAGTGATGCGCCCAGGATATGAACTGGAGCCCATATGAGATCTTGGTGCCTGCAGGGCAAGGACTTTCACTACTAGTCTACTGTGCCAGGCCCTGTACCTGTATTTTTATGTTAAAAAATAATGTCGAAAAGGTGTATGACATAATAACGCTAATATGAAAATTTGGATGATGATAAGCAATAATGGATAATGAAAAAAATCCCCTTATTATGTAACCTTAACCTACCATCTTATGAAACCTTTAAGTTAAAAAATAAGGACTTTAAATGTAATCATGTTAATCATTAATAAGCATAGTGACTTGGGCTGCTATAGATAAGCCAGCTTGGAAAAAGCCATATTTTTAAATGTTACTTGTAATCTGATTTAGATAAGGCATTCTTTAGGGAATTTTGTAAAATAAATCCATGCTATTGAGTAAAACTTTCATGAAACGATGCTGATGATAGACGCTTTTGCATTAATAAACAATTGGTTCAAGATATATGAAATATTAGGCCAATACAACATATATATCCAAAGTCTATTTGGATATCTATATTTATTACTGCTGGTGAAAAACCATGTAAAGTTACTGAAAGGAGTAGAAAATAAATCAATGTCTAATAATAACATTTTAGATGCATGAAAAGCTAGAAATTTATTATATTTAAGAAGTTTTTTATATAACCATATACAATCTATTCTCTATATTATTGTGCCAGGCCCAAGAGTTAATAATTTAGAAATATGTTTGAGGGCCCAGCACAGTAGCTTAGCTGCCAAAGTCCTTGCCTTGAATGCGCTGGGATCCCATATGGGCGCCGGTTCGAATCCCAGCAACCCCGCTTCTCATGCAGCTCCCTGCTTGTGGGAAAAGCAGTAGAGGACGGCCCAAAGCTCTGGGCCCCTGCACCTGTGTGGGAGACCTGGAAGAAGCTCCTGGCTCTTGGTTTTGGATTGGTGCAGCTCCAGCTGTTGCAGCCGCTTGGGGAGTGAACCGTTGGACAGAAGATCTTCCTCTGTGTCTCTCCTTCTCTCTATATATCTGCCTTTCCAATAAAATATTAACTCTTTAGATCTGTTTTATTTGCAACGTTAAACATACCCAAATCAATTTTAACCTACAAGTTCAATGCATTATAAATTAATTTAATGTTTTATTTGGTCAAATATTTTACTTCATGATACCTAAACTATTAAGTTGCATAAGGTTTTAATTTATAGTTTTCAAAATATCAAAATATATTCATGTTTCATTGAGTTTTAAAAGGAATTATGGTCTCAATCTTGAAAAGAATCATTTATTAAATGGATGTAGGAATCATGATTTCTACTTTATTTTCAGAAATGATGGGCAGATTTTTTTGTATCTGTGATAAAGCTGTGTACCATGGATTTATACTTCTGTTGTATAGGGAATCCTTATGTTTAGGAGTGTGGAAATATTAGCCTGTTTTGCATGATGGGCTGCCAAAGCATTTCTTATAGCCTCTCATTAGTTCTGTCCACTGATGTTTTCTGTAATGATTGGGTATGTTCATTGTTCTGTGGGATATATATAAGCTGTATGTAGCAATTGAAAACTTCTGTTGTGACCAGGGTTTCTAAGAAACTGAAGTTATAGTTAAATAGTTCTGTGGTCCTTGGTTACTGTGTGTGTGTGTGTGTGTGTGTGTGTGTGTGTGTGTGTTTATGTGTGTTTAATTCTCTTGTGTCTGTTATTTAGCAGATTTTTTGTTGGAGAGCATGAAAGCTTCAAATCATTTATTTATTGCCATCAGTTTTTTTTTTTTTTTTTTTACAGAGATACCTGAGAAAGTTATAAACTATTTCTTTGGTGTTCCAAAATCTTGAACACTAAACTAGCTATTTTGAGAGTCAGCATAAATCTTTATCTTTTATTTTTAAAAAATGTGTGACTTTGTCCAGTATATGATTAAAGGGATGGATTTTGATTTTTCTTGCTCCCTGGAAGTCATTTTCAAAAGTGGGTCACCTTTTAATTTTTTTCTCACTCTACTGTAGTTAATATTCTTTTAAAGATTTCCATCTTCCAGGTTAATAATTAAAGAAGCTAGCTAAGTATGTATTTGATGGTACAATCCAAAAACTTCTTACATGCAGTCTTGATTTTTGTAACTTCTCAGGGATTAGGAAAGTCATTCATTGAATCTAGTTTGGTATTAAATCTGTCTGTTACAGATCTACCAGTATCATATGATGTGATTGTTTCTTACCAAATGAAATTGTTCTTTTTCCTATGACTGTTAGATTCTCATAAACGAAGGTTCATGCATTTAAGAAGGGAAGAGAGTGGAAGGCATATAAGTGGATTATGAAAATAAAGCTAGGTAGAAAGAAATGAGTGCTTTTGTCATGTCAAAATTTCCCTATACTGGCAGTTGTTGTCAATCATTTACTTTTACATTTGTTCCTGTTGCAAAATGGGGTGCAGATGTTACATAAAAATAGAAGAAAAATACTGAATAAAAAGTAGTTAAAAGGCTATGTGATTATTTAGCAAAAGGTGATGGGAATGTTAATTAAAGTTGTAATAATGAGAATTGGGATAATGGATGGTTTCAGGAATACCATGTTTTCTGAAACCTGAGTGGAAGTGAACTAAAGACCCTGAGATAAAATATTTTGGAGATGGTATTATAGAAGTTATGGTCTTTTCTTTTTGTCTTCTAATTTTTTAGAACTTCTGCTACATTTAGTATTAATTTTGCATGTCAAAAATTCCTGTTATGATTACAAGTCATTATTTTGTTTGTTTTAGTTGAAAATGTGTTGGAGGTATTAAGTGGAAAAAGGTGGAAAGTGTTGAGACAGAAAGTTGGTTATGAGTTTGTATGACTGCTTACTGAAACATGATGAAAGCGTGAGTTAAGGTTATGACAATGAAAATTGGGATAATGTATGGCTTCAGGAATACAATATTTAGAATGTTATATTCTGAATATGTTATATTCAAAGGACTTGATTTTCCATGGAGAATGGATGAGGCCTCAGGTAATTGTGGTAATGCAATTCTTGAGGTATGCAACAATGCATGAGGCAAAAATGTCACTGCTAAAAATAATGACTTTTACATTAGATAGATTTGTTTGTGTAGAATTTGAAATGCAGGTGTCAAGCAGTCATGGATTTGGAACTCTAAAGTTTGGTTTAGACAAGACATGTGGCTGTGGAAGAATGGTCCCCAAACCCAGCCATACATTTGATCATATGCTGGGAAATATATAGTTGCATTGACTGCTACCATTTAAGATTGTGTTAAGTCGGAAAGATATGCAAATGCTAGCGAGCTTGGAAGAGACTTTGCCCACATTGAAACTGGACAGGACATGTATAGTTCCTTTACTGAACTGTGACAGCTCCTGCAAAGTGTTGTCTATGAGGGAAGTCCTTTTAATTTGGAGCTGATCGTGTTGGCACCTCTGCTTAGGAAATACCATGTTCCCATACCTCTAAAGGAAAAGGTGCTCAGGATAAACTACTTTCGTATCTATTCAGACAGTTCAGGTCCAGTGAAATTTCTCCTTACCAGTTCTCTGATGGTAGAAACCCTTTTGAAATTTAGGTTCCCAGATACTGTCAGAACCCAACTTTCAAAGCAGACTTTTCTGAGGTGGAAGTCCTGCCATGTTATTTATTTCCTATATATAGCTGAGGCCGTAAGAATGAATGAGTTGGGAAAATCAATTGATACCCCAGTTCGGAACTCACCTGTACAATTTTCGTATTTTTTCTCACTTCAACCTTAATCCTTCCTTCACTAGGGTTGTATCTAGTTCTTTCTTCGGAGTACTTTTTTTTTCCCATCAACTAACCTCTTTGTTTTATGAGGGTGTCTTCATATGCATATTATAAAAGAAAAGACTGTACATGGATTTCAATTTTGTTTCACCCTAAAATAAGAACCAATTCCCTTTCCCATGATATTTTTTGAAGCATTCTCCTACAAACTGTTCCTCTCTTTTAACTTGCTCTGAAGACACTTAAGCATGAGCATACCCTTCCAGCCTGAGGTATTCTTTACTCTGTGAGACCCTTGTACCATCAGCCAATTGTTTTCTTCACAGCGAACCTTTCCCAAAGTGAAAATTGTACTAGTTACCTTCACTTTTTTAGTTCTTAATCCTTTTTGAATTATAAACTGGTTTTACTCTGCCAGCTTCTATGAAGCTGACCTTTCCAAGGTTACCAACAACTTTATTCTTGTTAAATCTGATAGTTTTCAGTCCTTATCTTCTGGGTGGCTTCTCTTTTTGCATGGCTGTTAGAATGAGAAGGCATCTTGAAGGAGAAGGTGTTGAGGGAAGGGGAATAGGTTGCCTTGTGTTGGTGGTGGATAGGATTCAAGAGTTCAAATGGAAACTCAGCAAATTCAAGGGCATAGTATGGATAAGAGATCCTTTGTTATTGTGACTGTTTTTTGAGAAGATTTTCCTTATCACTTTTTGACATTTGTAGTGTTTGAGGTAAGTGAGAAATGAGGACTGGATCTAGCTAATACTTTAATGGGTGGGTGGGATGAAAAATACTCTATGGCAAAGGAAGAGAGGTTTTAGTCATAGCCACTGAGTTTTTATATCTTACATTATAAGACATAAAGGGTAAAAGAGTCTTATTTCTGTCTGTTGACACCAACATTATAATATTGTTGACGTATAAATGTTTTCGATTTCTTCAGAATGATGCCATAATTAAAATGTAACTGGAAAGACTGAACTTTATTAGACAAAGTGGTATTATTGGAGAGTTGTTCTAGAAAATCTCCCAGAGCATTTTTTACAGCTTGATTAAATTTTAAGTTACTGTACTTATAGCATGAACATTTCTGAAAGTAATAAATTATTATTTTATCAGATAACTTCAGCTGTGCAGCAGTGTGTTCAGTATTTTCAATTGTGTCAGACCATGAGAACTGATGAATTTTTGGAACATTCAAAGCACTGTGGTGAGTGTCAGTTTTTCTATTATGTATTTAAGAAGGTAAATGCTATTAATAAAAAGAATTTAGTAGTTTCTTTTGAATAGTTGATTATATCCTGATCAACTAAGTTGTTTGCTAATAGTGTGAACTGTTATTTATGAATTTAAAAGATAAACTTCTATCATGACTTTTTCTAGCAGAATTGCCCTTGAAATTAATGTTTGATCAATTCATGTTGGACAGTCTTTAACTTTATAATAATGCAAGGTTCACTGCTTTCTCTCTAACAGTATATCAGCTATTCGCTTATGCCTCCAGTAAAATAATGTTTTGTTTTTGACTATAAGTGATTCTTCAATTCATATTGGAGAATTTTTTATACTATAATAATACATGTTCACTGCTTTCTAACAGTGTATTAGTTATTCACTTAGATTCTTTAGTGGGTGGGAAAGTTCCAAAAATATTCTTTATTAAAATTAGATATTCATTGTTATTAGATACTTTGTGATTCCTCTCCTTTTATTCTGGGTCAGCTAAAATGTCATAAATGTTTCATAATCTGACAATGATTTCTAATCTGATCTTTTCTTAGTTACTGATTAAAGTAACTCTTAGATTCTCTTTTGCACCTAAACAACTTCCTTTGTATTTTCATTGCTCTATCTGTAATCCTCTACACAAATAGCTGTCTTATTTATTATGAAAATTAATGTGTATACTTTTTAGGAAGACAGCTCTGCTTATTCTTATTTTTACTTTTTTTTTTTACTTACAATTTATCTGTAACTTGTCATGTGAAACTGATTTTCTTTAAGATATATTAATTTTTATTGGAAAGGCAGATTTATAGAGAGAGGGAGAGACAGAAAGATCTTCTGTCTGCTGTTCACTCCCCAAGTGACTGCAACAGCCACAGGTAAGCCAACTGAAGCCAGGAGCCAGGAGCTTAGTCCAGGTCTTCCACGCAGGTGCAGGGACCCAGAGCTTTGGGCCGTCCTCGACTGCTTTTCCCACAAGCAGGGAGCTGGATGGATGGGAAGTGGAGCAGCTGGGACATGTACTGAAAGGGCATCTCAGCGCATGTGGAGGAGAATTTAGCTTCTGATGCTTCCTGCTTGGCCTGTTAAACTGATTTTAATTATTCGGTTATTCTTTTTTTGTTTCTCTAAGCAAATAATAAAAAGCTCTTTTGAGAGTATGCAGATATCTTAGAATTTTCTGTATCACATAATTTCTTTAGCTTCTAGCAAGAGGTAAAATGGCCAAAGAATAACTCAGGGACTTCAAATGCCATTAATGTCTTGTAGTGGAGGAGAAAGTATAAAAGTTAATTTATTCTCTCTCTCTCTTTGTCTTCCTCCCTCCTTTTTGCTCTCTCTCTCTTTGTGTCTCTTCTTTCATTCATTCATTTGTTATACTTGAAAGGCTCAAGACTTTAGGATTTAGGAGCCAACATTATGGAATTGTCAGCATTTGTGTGCTGGTTAAAATCCTGGCTTTTTGCTTCTGTTTTGGCTTCCTGCTAATGTTCCTAAAGTACCTGGGCGTCTACCACCCAAGGAGACCTAGTTGGAATTCCAGGCTTCTGGCTTTGGCCATGGCATATCTGGCTGTTCAATCATTTGGGTATTAAACCAGTGTATGGAGATTCTCTCTCTCGCTTTTTATTTTTCTCTCTCTCCTTCTCTCTTACTGTGTGTGTGTCCCTTTCTCTGTAACTATCTTTGAAATAAATGACTAAATCTTTTTTTATATAATTTTTTAAATTTTGTCAATATTTACATAGTTAATTTGGGCAAAAAGGGTCAAGCCCCACACGGTTTCCCACCCACCCCAAGTCCTGCATGTGGGGCATGCTCTGAGATACTCGTTGAAGTGGTTTCAATAGGTCACCAGTTTTGAAATTGCTGCCAATCTTGCCTCTCCAAACACGATGAGGTTGTTGAAAAATCCATTAATTGACATTGTCCATCATAGCGTCTCTATTTGCCCGGTATTTTGTTGCCAACCTATAGCTGAGGTGGTTGATTAACTTGTTCCATCTTCTGTCCCTTCATGGTTTGGGTTCTGAGTCTGGCATGAAACAAATGACTAAATCTTAACACTCAGATTTCAGAGCATTTCTGATGTTTTTAGTAATACTCACCTTGTGTTGACTTCATTGGTGAAATACAGTATGTTGTATTTTCTGTTGATTCCCCCCTTCACTTTTGAGGTTCTTTTTAAATGACAGATGATTACTCTGACAATTTTATGTCTATTATTTTGGAATAAATATTGTATGCATATGCTATTGTGGGATTTGCCAATTTTATGACTGCTTCTCTTCAGATATAGTGTAAAGGACCTTAGGAAACAATAAGGAAAATAATTAAAAAAAATTCGAATCAAGTGTTTCTCCATTAAAGGCTGTTATTTAATTGTGTTTCAATGTTTAGAAGGGAGTGAAGAAAGGTACTAAACAATATAAATGACTCTAAAAAAATGTTTTTGTTTGCCTCCTTTTTAAAGGAACCAGACAGAAAACTTTCTACTACTCAGGACAAGAATTGCAATATATTTATTTTATCCACTCACTTTGTCTGTTAGGAAGATTACTGATTTATACACAAGGCAGAAAACTCTTTCCTGTAAAGCTGAAGAATAGAAAAGGTAAGTGCAGTCAGGAGAATGGCTGTGTTGAGAGATGATAGGATTTATATGCTATGGAGTATTGCTTTTAAATTTATCATTTACTTCACCTACTTGAAAGGTACATATACACAGAGACAGAAAAAGAGAGATAGACAGACATCTACCTGGTCCACTCTCTAGGTTCCTCTAACAGTGGGAGGATTGACCAGGCCAAAGCTAAGGGCCTGGGAATCAATATGAATGTTTCAGGGTAATCAGAACCCAAGTACTTGACCCTTGATGTGCTGCCTTCCGGGATGTGCCTTAGCAGGAATCTGGAGCTGGAAATGGAGTCAGGGGTCAAGCCCAGGCACTTTATGATAGGATATGTGCATCTCAGATGGTATTTTAACTGCTTTGCCAGATACACACCGCAGGAATTTTCAGACTTGGAAACCTGTATGATCTCTTTCAGAGTATTTTTTTCTTTTAGTTTTGAGTGTATACTTTTCTTGACAAATTAAGTATTTTGTTGCTGTTTGCTCTTCCCCTGCCCTTTAATGCTTTCTTTATTTCACCCCACCTTTTAAAAACCTAGGCATAGTTGATCATCTAGGTCTGGATGCAGAACTGAAGAACTCATATAAGTTTTGCTTCACTTATAAACTGATCATGTGGAGATATTAGCTAACCTTTATTCTTTCAGTGTCTATATCTTTAAAAATGGGATAGTGATATCTCTGATGCTAAATGCATACTATTTTAGCAATCGCAGATTAGGATTGAGAACACTGTTTTTAAACAATGAAGTTATATACTGTTTTGTATACCAGCACATTAATTTTACCTGGCATTTCATTTATTTCTCCAGTACACTTCACCCATTGCCATCTTTCTTTTAAAGCTTAATAAATAGAATTTAGTATGCACATGCATACACATACCAAAGGCATTGGTGTGGCCAGCCTGAGATTGTACTCTTTTGAAAGCTTGCTTGCTAGATTGCACCTGGCTTTCATCTGTGAACATGGATTTCCAATGATTCTCAGAGCTGGTAAGAATGTCTAAGTTGCTTTTACACTGATCAACATTTAAGCAGTTTGTTTATGTAATGGCATTTATGCTGAACACTCAGTTTCCTTTTTGGGAGAGATGTGTTCTGATGCACGCTAGGCTGAGGGCTTAGCCCTCAGGAAGGATGTCAACAGAGTCTTGAACCAGTGCCCATATGGATGCTGATGCCAAGGTGGAGAATGAGCTTGTTGTGCTTCTTTCTGGCATATTTTAAAAATAGAAAATATAGTTTTGGCTTGTGAGCCTTATGAAATCACGTCATAAGCGTTACAATTGATGTGTCTGTCTTATAGAATGTATTTATTTTGAGTACTCTTCTGCACCATCATCTAGCTGTTTTGTTTGCTAAATCTTTCTACTTGATTGTAAGCTCCTTGAGAAAATAATATTATTTTATAATTCCTGTGGTATGTCACCTCATTCTAGGCATAATTGGTATTCAGTTGAGAATTTATGATAGTCTTTCACTAGGAGCTGACATTTTATAGGATAATGTCAAACTTTGCAGATGACAGTAGAGAAAATATGTACTTGTGTTGGTTCAGATGTTAATGTAAGTTTACTTATCAGTTACTTCTAGTTAGCATCTTATACTTAATGATTACAAAGCAGATAGAGAAGTCTTCCCTATTCATAGATTCACTTTTTAAACATCTGCAACAGCAAGATGGGCTAGACTGAAACTGGGAGCCAGAAAATCAGTCTGGGTCTCCCACATACATGGTAGAAGCTACTTGAGCCATTGTCTGCCAGCCTTCTAGGTACACATTAGCAGGAGGTTGGAACAAGGAGTGGTGTCTGCAGCAGTGTCTTAACTGCTAATTTAAACAACAATCATCACTGTGACCTTCCACATCCACTTTTTGAGATACCAGATGACACAGGTCATGTAAGATGGAATTGTACTATGATAACATACATCATCAGCCATCTTTAAGTTTGTATAAAGACTTGTTCTATTTTATTTATTTATTTTTATTGGGAAGGCAGATCTACAGAGAAAAGGAGGGAAAGAGAAAAAAGATCCTTTATCTGTTGGTTTGTTCACTCCCTGAGTAGCCACAATGGCCGGAGCTGAGCTAATCTGAAGCCAGCAGCCAGGAGCTTCTTCTGAGCCTCTCATGTAGATGCAGGGTCCCAAGGCCTTGGACCATCTTCTACTGCTTTCCCAAGCCACAAACAGGGAACTAGATGGGAGGTAGAGCAGCTGGAATATGAACCAGTGTCCATATGGGATCCTAGTGGATGCAAAGCAAGGATTTAGTTACTCGCCTCATGCTGGTTTCATCTTTAAAGTTTTAATGCTATTTTACTGGAACCTTTTAATTAAATTTCTATAGCAAGAGTTGGTAAATTACATTCCATGGACCAAATCAGGTTTGCTTCTGGTTCAACTGTCTGTGCTTAAGAATGACTTTTAACTTGTTGGATTAAGACTTAGAAGACCATTTTCAAACATATGAACAAATAATTGTATTTTAGTGCGCATAAATGAAATTTTATTGGAAGCACATTCATTTGTATGTTGCATGTGGCTGCTTAGTGCTTCAGCAGCCATTTTGAGTAACAGAAGATGTTTGGTTATAAAGCCTAAAATATTCACTGCCTACTGCTTTACGGAGAAAGTTTGCTTACCTCGTTTCTATAGTGCTTTCTATAAGATAGTTGAACCAATGCATTCAGCTGTATTTTACTGCTGCTTGAATAAAGTCAAACAAACAAAATGACAAAATTTGCATAATTTCATTTACAGATTTGTGTTAAGTGAATACTTTAAAATAAATGGAAGAACTACACTAAAACAGCATTAGTTGCATTTCTTAATTTACTATCTTTTAACTGAATGTAGCGAATGTTTCTAGAGTCATGGATCATAAACTCCTTTCCACGTTACTGTACTCTAGTTTCTATGAAAATCATGTAGGTGAATGGAAACAGAGTTTTTGAGTTGATTGTAATTAATTTTCTTTTTTCTTTTCGAAGATTCAGTGTCCCTTACAGATCTTCTGGTACTGTTTATTCAGCTTATTTATTACTCACCAAGTTACCCAAAGATAGCACCAGCTTCAGAATTAGGTAATTTTATTTTTAATTTTTCAGAGAGAAGTAGAAATATCTAAAATATTTAAATATGCTATTGTCTAGATATTTTGAGTAATTGATCTAGTTTGGTAAATGAGTTGGGTTAAGATACAATAACATCTAAAAGATATTATGTTAATAATTGGTAATGCCTCATGCTTAATTTTGTTGATGTTTTATGGTATTTCTAATCAACTTTTACCTGTTTAAAATCAGTCTTAACAGAGAATTTATGTGTTGTGCTTTACTAACAAGATGTTCTTAAGAAATGATCTGAGCATTTGCATAGGTGGGTACAAATATGTTCTGTAGCAAAATACTTACCAGTACTTGGATTAATTGATTTGTTATTCCTCATTTGTGAAACTTCAGTTCTTTTTTCAAGATCTTTCATGGAAAAGAAAAGCTTCATATATTTTTCAATAAAATGCCTTTTAGTTTTATGATATTATTTGGCTTATAACATGTCTTAAAATATTAATATTTGAAAGCTCACTTTTAGTTTTCCCATTGAATATCTATAAAAGTTTCCAAAACAAAATTCTCATGATTAACCCCACTAATGCTAAGATTAGCATTCTAAGACTGCGAAGTACTCCAGGAATGGTAGCATAAATTCTGAGAGAAACTCAAGTGACTCAAAGAAAAAGATGGTAGCAATTTCATATAAATGCTATAATATTTCAGCTGATACATTTTAGTGGTGAAATTAGCCTATTGATTCTTGCAGTGACTCAGTTTTTTTCTTTTGCAGGATTTTCTTGCATAAATAAAGTATCAGCTAAAATATGCCTGCTGTTATAATCTTTTACTATATTTATTTTATGATAAAAATCATCTTTCATACTTTCTTGGTTTAATTACTTGCTACTACTGTGATTCACCATATAGTGGGTTTTTAAATGTTTTTGTTTGTTTGTATATGGTGCCTACGTCAATGTCTGGTGCATGAACATTGAAACAGGAGGTGATTGGTTGAGTAAATGAATGGAGAAATGCTTATCAATAAGCTATGTTAAAGCAAAAAAGTCTTTTCATCAGCATTTGATTAAAAAAAATCACTGAGCTCTCCTTTCTTGTGTTATATTTGTCAAATACTGACTTGATGTCAACATGTCCCTTTTGTTTGGAATATTTTAACGTAATTCAAGGACTTTGCTGTTTTATAGTATTGTGTTTTAGTAGGGCATTCTTAGATTAAACATCACTTTTAAGAGCATGTTACATCAAAAGTGAAAACATGCTAACTTTTGAAATAAATTATTTATATTACATTTATGTGTGTTACTGTTTTCCTGTTCATATTTGCTAGAAAAAATGCTTGTCATTGACTTTTGTGTTAGCACATTTTTTTTGGCTATGTAAAAGATAATGAAAATTTTTATTCTTCTCAGCCTTCCTTTTTTTTTTTTTGTAAAGATTTATTTATTTGTTATTGTAAACTCATTTACTGAGAGAAGGTGAGACAGAGAGGAAGATCCTCCATCTGCTGATTGACTCCAAGTGGCTGCAGCAGCCGGAGCTGAGCCCACCCAAAGGCAGGAGCCAGGAGCTTCTTCTGGTCTCCCACACAGGTGCAGGGTCCCAAGGCTTTAGGCCATCCTCGATTGCTTTCCCAGGCCACAGGTAGGGAGCTGGAAAGAAAGTGGAGTGGCTGGAATATGAATCGGCACCCATATGGGATCCTGGCATGTGCAAAGTGAGGGCTTTAGTCACTAGGACCTCAACCTTCCTTTTTTTTTTTTTGTCCATTGTCTTATTTTAGTGACTTTTATTTAATTTTCTGTAGGACTCAATGGCAAAATAACATGACTTAAAGGAAAGAATCAACGTGATCCAAGTAAAGTTTTCTAGGAAGAGAGAAGTTTTGACCTTGCTTCAAATTACGTCCTTAAAGTCTAGCAGTGATTTAATGTGAAATTGCAAAGGATTTTAAGCTCTTATCTCTTGGCATTTATATTAATTGTCATTTAGTTGTTTTTACTAACTTCAAAATGTGTTAACGAAATTGAGCTCTTATGTTTAATTATAATTTTGTAATCATCATGTTATCTTTTGGGTATTTGTAATTTTTTTAAAGCTATTATATTTGAGGTTGAATTTCTTGGAGTTACAACAACACCTGTCAAATAAAAATCTATTAAGTATTTAATGTTTTAAGTTTTGATTTTTAAAAATATATTTTGCTTTCAGAAGATTATTCTCCTGCCAATATGGTGACTGATATTCTGCAAATACTGTGCGATCAGAAAGAGTGTGCTATTGAATGCTTATATAACAATACCGTGATTGAGGCACTTCTTCAGCCTGTTCATAATTTAATGAAAGGAACAGAGGTTGGTACTGTTTGCTGGAAATAGTCTTTTAAGTGGGTGTTTGTGAATATTCAATGGGCCTTGTTTTTTTTTAAGATTTATTTTATTTGAAAAGTGGAATTAGAGGAAGAGATAGAGAAAGCAAAAATGACCTTCCATTCACTGGCTGTTTCCTGGGTAGTTGCAATGGCCTTGTGTTGCTCAGACCAATACCAGGAGGCTGGAGCTTCATCTCCATCTTCCAATTGGGTGACAGGAGTCCAAGTCCTTGGGTCGTCTTTGGTGCTTTTCCAGGTACATAAGCATCAAGCAAAACTTAAAGCAGAGCAGCCCAGACCCAAACCAGCACTTTACTATGGAGTGCTGTCATTCTAAGCAGTAGCTTAACCTGCTGTGTCATGGAACTTTAGTTCTAAATCTGATATACTTGATGTATTATTTCATTATTCTGTGTTTCCATAAATGCATATATTTTTACTGATATAGATTTCATTTGTTCTTAAATTATAGTTTATGTAGTTGGTTGATTTATTATGACAAGGTGAGGAGGAAAAGCACATCTTAGCTTTTTTTTTTTCTAATCACACTTAGACATGCAAAGGACATAAGAAACTGTCTTAGTAATCTAACAAATCTTGTGAATATTTCATTTGTTTTAATGGCAACTTCTTAGGAATAAGTCTATTAGAAATAGATAATATTTTTCAAGATTCAGCTATGTCCTATGTTGACAAGAACTGGTTTTACTTTAGGAAGTAAGTTTACATTCAATCCCAGTTCTCTTTATAGTTTACACAATACATTACCTTATATCATGTAATCTAAAAATTAATACAGTTGAAAGGTAAGGAGAGAGAGGAAGAGAGAGAGGGTGAAAGAGAATTTCTTGTCTGTTAGTTCAGTTTTGAAGTACCTGAAACGTTGGGACTGGGCTGAGTTTGGGTTGGGCTGGACCATACAAAAGCTCGGTGTCAGAAAATTAGTCTCAGTCTTCCGTTGGGTGGCTGAGACCCAAGTACCCAAGCCATCACCTGCCACTTCCTACCTTACACATCTTCATGAAGCTGGAATTGGAGCAGAACTGGGATTTAAACTGACACTCCAGTAGGGAATGTGGGTATCCCAAATGGTGTCTTTACCATGGAACTAAATGCCTGTGTCCCTCATATAATTAAGTTACTATAGCTGAAACTTAAGGAAGTGACTTTCTCAATGTGAGTACTTAATGAGTAATAGAGCTAATATCCTTCCTAGTCCTACTGTCTATAGACTGTATCCCTGTACTTATGAGGTAAGCTTTTGGCAGTAATTAGTTAAAGCTTATCAATATAGGTTAAACTTTTTTTTTTTTTTTTTTTTTTTTTACCTTTTGAGGTCTGTTGTAGCTATATTTTTTTTTTTTTACTGATTTCATTTTATACCTACCTTTTGACAGTCTGTCATAGCATGTCTAGCTTGTTGTTTAATGGATAAATTTCACTATTTTTAAGTAGGCATTTTGTGAATTTTGTTTTCTTGTGCCGTAACTATTTTTTTATATGATCTAGTTAGAACGAACAATTTAAATTTTATAAATAAGATTATTTCCCTGTGTTTGTGTACTTTTTCCCCTAACCTAGTTAAATTTTAAACTTGATTCATATGAAAAATTACTGTGTTTAGACCAGAGTGTGTCTGCAATTTGCTCCCAAATTTCCCTTGTGAAGTTAGGTGTTCCTTTCTTCTCATACCCCCATGTATGTGATTCTGTATACATTATGCTTAGGTTGTTTATTCTTGAGTTTGCACACCAGCCCTTGAACGTATAGAATATACATTTGGTACTTAGTCTAATTCTAATACATTATAATCACCCTTTGTGCTGTTAGCTCTGTGCTAGGTACTGAAAATATACAAAAGAATGAAACGTGTTTGCCTTTCAGGAGTCTGCTCTAACAGGAGCATATAAAAATGGGGAAAGAATAGTAAGAAAAAATGTCGGGGTGTGTATGTGTGTACATATGTATGTATAAGATAAAATATATCCTTTCATATGTGTTTGTATATATAGCTGTATGAAAAAATGTACATAACACATAGGAGAGGAGAATATTCAAACGAGAACCTTTTTGTTGTAAGATTTGTCAAAGTCTGTTACAGAGAGAGGGAAGGCTACAGAAAGAGATAGTCCATATACTGTTTCACTCTTCAGATGGCGGCAAAGGTCATGGCTAGGATAGGCTGAACCCAGGAACTTCATCTGGGTCTCCCACCTGGGCGGCCGGGGTCAAAACACGTGAGCCTTGTGTTGTTTTTCTCAGTCTAGCAGTAGGGAGGTGGATTGGAAGTGCAGCTCCGAGGACACAAAGCAACACTGTATGGTATGCTGGTATTGCAAGTGGCAGCTTTACCTGCTGCCTCATAATACCAGCATCATCTAAGGAGAGAAATGTTAAGGATGTTTAACATGAAAAGTACTAGTAGACTAATATATTGGATGAGTATCTCCATCTGGATATCTTTTGAGTAAATATATATGACTCATCTTCATCATTGTTAATATAGTACACCAAATCTATTAGAATGCATTGGTTGTAACTTCTATAGTTTTACTTTTGTCATAGAGAATATATATATTATTTTTATAACTTTGTTATCCTTTTTTATATGCATTTCTTTGCAGTACAATACGCATAAATCAGACAAATAAGCAGACCTCTGAAAGAGCAGGCGTTACAGTTAATGGGTCCTACAGTAATTCCAGATGCAGTCCTGTATCAACATGAATTTTTCTGTTTCTAGGATTTGTTTTGTACTTTTTTTTTTTTTTTAGAAGAAACCATGAGGGTAAACTCTGGCTCCAGGGTCTCATTTGTTTGTCTTTTTTTTTTTAAAGATTTATTAATTTTTATTACAAAGTCAGATATACAGAGAAGAGGAGAGACAGAGAGAACGATCTTCTGTCTGATGATTCACTCCCCAAGTGAGGGCAACAGCTGGTGCTGTGCCCATCCGAAGCCAGGAACCAGGAACCTCTTCCAGTCTCCCACACAGGTGCAGGGTCCTAAAGTCTTGGGCTGTGCTCAGCTGCTTTCCCAGGCCACAAGCAGGGAGCTGGATGGGAAGTGGAGCAGCAGGATTAGAACTGGCGCCCATATGGGATCCCAGCACGTTCAAGGCGAGGACTTTAGCTGCTAGGCCATGGTGCCGGACCCGGTGTACTATTTTGTTATATGCTCTCACTTTATATCGTATGGTAGTTCAGTGCTGTACAATATAAAGTAAGGAAATATGGTTAGCCCGGCTTATATTTCTCACTAGTGACGTCCTTTAGAAAGGATGGCAGTTTTAATCATATGCAATATGATTACATTGGAAATATCAGGACCCAGTAGATGGGAAGTAAAGGGAAAGGTAGAGCTAAAGGAGCTCTGTTTGTCATTAACAAGTACACGTATAATAGGAACAATGCTGAATAAATGGTGTGGGTGCAAAATCGTTTTATGTGAATCATCAATTGTGATCTAGTTTCTACATTTGATTCAGACATACATAATGGCTAATATAAATGTTTTTTTCTGTTGAGATAATGTAACTTTAGAAGACTACAAACCACGTTTGAGTTTTAGTCTAAGGTATGCTAGTGTGTTGTAAAATTATATGTTTGTTTTATTAACTTTTTAATCTACAGGTTGCTCCAAATTGTTCTAAAACAGCTTTAACTCATATAGCTGATATCTTGGCAAGAATTGCATCTGTGGAAGAAGGACTTGTTTTACTTCTTTATGGTGAAAATATGAACTCTTCTGAAGAAAACCGGTATGTCTGCATTTTACATAACTTTTCGAGTCTACAATAACTTTTCGAGTTATAGTTAGGTTTTATGACTAGCAAATCATATATTAAATGATCTTCAAATATTTGCAGGATTATCCAGGATTATGAACTATGCACACAGAGTAGGCCTCGATGTCTAAAATTTCAAAATAAGAGTAAGAAGGTTCATTCTATATGTGATCATCTCTCATCTCCTCCAACCCCATTATCTGTTTCCTTGGACTGTCTTAAAAACTCTAAAAGCACATATGATTGATTCAAGTAGGATTAAACAAAGATGTTCAAAGGAGAAGCTATTTTTCTTTTTTTGTCTTCATCTGATAGGGATGCCTGACCAATGGTTGTATTTAGATTTCTAGACTTTTTGGTGTGGTGCATCAGATGAATGTACAATCACACTAACATATAAACACGAAGAACTTTCCTCTTTACCAAAATGACATTATTGTGCTGCAGTTTTGTTTTTATATATAGCCATGATTTGTTTTTAGAATGTAAAGTTCTTTTTTTTAAAGATTTATGTATGTATATATGTATGTGTGTATTTAAAAGAATTATAAAATTGGAGGGAGGCACGATGGGGGAGAGAGAAAGAGAGCCAAAGTGAGAGAGAGAGAATATTTGAACCTGTCAACTGGTTAACTCCCCAAATGGCTGAAATAGCCAAAGTTGGACCATTCCAAAGCCAGGAGCCAGGAGCTTCTTCTCTGTCTTCGACTGAATACAGTGCTAGAACTTAGGCCATCCACTGCTAGTCTATCGGGTCATTAGCAGGGAGCTGGATTAGAAATGGAGCTGTCAGATATGCCACAGTGCTGCCCTACATCCTTTGAAAATTTCTTTAAGTTTTATTTATTTAATTGTTGATGTTGTTTACATAGTTGCAAGGATTCATGCTCATGAGGACCAGTGATTAGGATGGTGAGGGTCAAGGCATGGGGGAAGATGGATGGGACAGATGTTTCCAATTTTCCTTTTCTTTCCTTTTCTCCTGTATCTGGGCAAGGTTGGGGAGTGGGGAGAAGCAGGGGCTGCTCCCAGTTGCCAAACTACATCAACATCCAGGGATAGGGGATGTCCACATGATGTAATTTTAGAAATCCCAATGTAGAAAAGAATGTTCTGAGATTATTGTTTGAGTGGTGTCGACAGTTCTGAGACTGTGGGTTTCGTTGCTCCAAGGTTGAAAAAAATTCTTCCAAGGTCCATTGGCTAACAATGTTCATCCTAGTGTATCCACTCACTCAGACATTTGCTGCCAGAGCTTGGCAAGGAGAGTTGTCCATCCTGTTCTGCTTTTTATCTTCTGTCATGGAACTGGACATCCTCTGCAGCCTTAATGAGCTGGCTTTCATGTTGTCATGTCCCTCATATTCATCTGGGCATGTCATCCACTGCACAGGCATAAACAATCAAGGAGACTCAGTCCTGATACATCCAGACCCAGTCAGAACCCAAATCCTATGATTTTCCCCATGGCCACAGTTTGAGTCCAGTAGTCCAGTTGGGGTGTCCCCAAGAAACCTTACCTGGGTTGATCTCAGACCTGACTCTTGCATGTGCCAGCTAGTACAGAATCTGATTCATTCCACACCTGCCTCAGCCTACACACACACTGGTGATTGCAGTTGCTTGGCTGGTTCTGCCCTAGCTTCATCTCATGTGCAAACTGACAGGTGTTATGGCATTAGGCCAACGCAACCTGCCACAGATCTAGCCCTTAGGCACAATAGTGGGAGTTGAAGCTTATAACCCTCAGTAAACTCATGGTTCCTGTGTATGCAAGTATGTACAGTAGGCTGCTCTGTCTTGTATCCCATCCAGCTTTAGTATTCACCTATGTTGTTGTGGCTTAACTCAGCCCACTCCGACCCACCCCATGACCCAGTCCATACATATACTGATGGGTGTTGCCACCTTGTGCAGCCTGGCTTGCTCCCAGCCCTGGCTTTCATGTTATCCAAGGAGATACAACCCAGCAGAGGATTGTTCATCTTCCCTACTAGTCCCACTCACAATGCTGGATCTTGTACTTTCCAGGGATTACTGAGGTCTGATCTGACATGACTTGCACCCTATCCTGGCACTTGACAGTGGGTGCTCTGGCAAAGCTCAGCCATTTGGCATTTATCCTGACTCTTGTATGAGCCAGCAGACGCAATGATGTGGCCTGACCACACTTAGGTTGATAGGTGTTGCAGCTGTTCCTAGCTCTCATGTTCACCAGTAGGAGTAGTCGCCCCAGTGAGGGGGCCAAGTAGTCTCCCCACCAGGCTTGTTCCTGGCTGGAGTCTTGACTATACTGTTAGGTGTTGTGGCCCAGTCTGGCATGGCCCATCTTACCTCAGCATTTGCCTGGGCAGGTGCTACAGCCTTGCTCAACTTGGCCTGCCTCCATCCCAGCTCATGCTGGATGGTGCTTCATCCTAATCCAACCTGGCCAGCCCCACTCCCAACCTTAATTTGAACTGGTAGATGCTGCAGCACAGTCTGGCCTGTCCTCTAACCTATACTGGCCAGTGGCTGTCACAGATAGATCTTGTCTGGCCCATTCTCAGACTTGACCCATAGGTCTGCTGATAGGTACTGTAGCCTGGGTTGACTTGCCTAACCTGCCTTCAGCCTCAAGTCTTGCGCTCATCATCTGGGGTTGCATCCCAACAAGGGATTTCCCAAGCTCCCCTATCAGACCATCTCCCAGTCATGATCTCACACACAGTGTTGGATGCTGGACTCAGCCTGACTTGGTCTACTTCCAGTCTTGACATTTACCATTGAGTACCAAAGCCTATCCAGACAGTCCCACACTAGTAGGTGTTACAGGCCAGCCCGGACATGTCCATGGCTAGATTTGGTTCTCATATGGATCAGTAGGTGCTACAACCTAACCCATCCCACATCCACTATGTCTTTTGCAAGTGCTGGGGGTTTGGTTGGTACACCTCCAGACCCCAGATCACACATATGCTGAGCGATGTTGTAGTCTTGTTCTGCTTGGTCTACCACCATTCCCGGCTTTCACGCTTCCCAGGGAAACTGCGGCCCACCAGGGATGTCCGTGTAGGCCCCTACCAGACCTACTTGCAGCTATTGATCTTGTACATGCTGATGGTTACTTGGATGCAGCTTGACATATGTATGTTACAATTTCTTTATCTAGGCATCAGTTGACAGACATCTGGATTAATTCCACATCTTAGCTATTCTGAATTGGGCTGCTATAAATGGGGGTACAAATAACTTTTTCATTTGTTGATTTGATTTGATTTAGAGAAATTGCCAGGAGTGGGATAGCTGTTGTCATTTGATTTATTTTCAGATTTCTGAGGAATCTCTGTGGTTGCTTTTAGAATGATTGTTGTAGTTTTCCTTTGCACCAACAGTGTGTTAGAGTAACAAGTTTCCCCCCATCTTTGCAAAACTCTAAGACATGACTTGCATCTCTTCAAGGTCAACACTATTGTGTTTGGAAAGCAAATGGTAACTAGCCTGTCTTTACCACTGACCTGCAGGAAGTGGATGGAGAGACTCAAAATAGGTTTGCTGATTCAAAAAAGAAAAAAAAACATGAAGATATTCTGGCTTTAAACTTAGATATTGTCTTATTGGGACCAAGAGCAGTCATATATACTCATTATGAAACAGATGGTAGTTTTTAGTCACCGCGTGCTATGATATATATCATATATAATACATATATAATATATAAAATGTAATATATGAATATATTATATAAATTATATTGTATATATTGCAATATATACACATATATAATGATTATGTGGTATATGTATTATACATTATATAACTTACATATAATATATAGTAAATCTGATTTACATTAGATATATGAATTACATTAGAACATAAAAAGCCAGTGAATGTTAAGACTCAGACCACTGTGAAGAATTCATACATACAAATGGGAAATGGAGGCTGAATGTAAACATAAGTAGGTTGCATGAAAAATCAGCTAAACATCACAGGTAGTTTTGGAGTCGTTCAGTGAATCAGGAGAGAAACGTGAACTACAGAATGAGACCCTGCATTTGGCTATGAACTACATAGAGCAGTTTGTTTCTAGGAAATCTTTGTTGAGAGAAAATTGTCCGCCTTTTAGATACTGCTTCCATCTGCCAACCTCAACATCTTAAGGATACTCTACAGAATAGCAGATTTAGTGTACATGTTAGAAGATACCTACAGCAAAACAACATTTTTTTTTCTGAGAAAGGAATATATTGTTTTTTAATGTCCCTGCTTTTGTACTAGCAGCACCAACAGCAAATCAGTAAGCTTTGCCTAGTATTGTTGCATCATCTGCCTGCAGACTGAAGTTGAAAGTTCAGCACTGTTTTGGGGACAATTAAGTATTAGATGTCAACCTATATCCAAACTACTGTATTCACCATCAGTTGTCACTGGGTCTATATTTTATTTAACGATGTATACAGTCAAAACACAAACCTGACGATAGTTCAGAAGCCTTGATGGGCCCTGGGAGGTCTTAGTTGTCTTCTGGACCAGCATCAGTTTACTGGAAGGCTCCACAGCATACACACCATTAACAAGAGAAAAATGCAAAAATTCATTGTTATTTTTGTTATCTCTTCAACCCATTGGAAACAGTAACTGTGTGGCAGTGTAATTCTGCCTTTGCTTTCCAAGATGCAAGCCAAGGAATTCAAGAGGGCTTTAAAAAACCCGTGGGATATTTAAGCAGTCTTTGAATTCCTTGTTTTCATGAACCCGAAGCCCCTTCACACAATGCAATTACTTTAGGCATGATTTTGCATTTGTTTATAAATCCAGACATTGTGGAGAAGTACAAATTATGACATCTTTTTATGCAGATTTAATATTTTCTGTTCTTGTATCTGTTTTAAATACTTGTGTAATTTTAAGTGGTTTTATTAAAGTCTTAATTATGTCAATTGTAGAGATAAGAATTAGTAAAGTTAGAAAGCTAAGTTATCTCTTCC